GATAAGAGAAATTGGCAATCTGAACTGGTCAGGCTAGGAGGTCTAGAAAAGTCCCCTAATTTCCTCTGAGATACAGAAGTGAGATTCTTAGCCCAGCTCCTTTTCTACCATTTTATCTTTGCCAAAAGAATCCCTCCCTAGTGCACTGCCCTTGAAAGTTTGCCAGATCCTCACTGGATTTTCTCCAAAGACTTAACCCATTTTGTCCCATCATCCCAGATATAGGACACCTATTAAAAAACTTGAATTTTCCAGGTATGGTGGTACACTTCTGTAACTCCGGAGATTTGGGAAGCTGAGGCAGGAGGATAGCAAGTTCAAGGCCAGCTTGGGCAACTTTATTTTGAGACTCTGTCTCAAAATAAAACTTAAACAAGGCTGGGGATGCAGCTCAGCGTTAGAGTGCCCATGGGTTCAATCCCTCCAAAACAAATAAACAAACAAACAAATGGGGAAAAAATAAATTGAGCAACATATATACCACTTAGAGGTTGGGGATATGGCTCAAGCAGTAACATGCTCGCCTGGCATGCGTGGGGTGCTTGGTTTGATCCTCATTACCACATAAAAATAAAATAAAGATGTTGTGTCCCCTGAAAGCTAAAAAATAAATATTAAAAAAACATATATACCACTTAGGGTCAATTTGAAACAAATATTATGTTATTAGAATTCTATTATTTTGAGAAAATAGGTGGATGATTAGAGCATTTGGAAAAATATTCTTTATATGTATCACAAACAATTATATATATTTGAAAAAATATCAAAAGGGTATATAAACTCTAGATTATGATTTCCAACCTATTTTAGTGTACCTGTGTTGATTTCATTGAAATATTCTCAGAATTAAAAACCTGGGACTTGTGGCTGGGGATATAGCTCAGTTGGTAGAGAGCTTGCTTCGCATGTGCAAGGCCCTGGGTTCAATCCCCAGTACCACCAAAAAAAAAAAAAAAAAAAAAAAAAAAAAAAAAAAAAAGAGAGAGAGAGAAAGAAAGGAAGAAAAGAAAACCTTGGGACTTAATGGGTTAAATGAGATTGGCAAAATAGGGGTCAATGTTGGTACTCCATCTTCAGATTCAGAGGTGGCTGAAGAGGGGGGTCTGAGTCCGGTGACAGGGAGGGTCTTGCCCAATGTCATCCACACCTGAACTTATGTTTCCTAGTCCTCTGGCTGAGTGCTAGAGGCATGCCACCTGGTCAGCTGATCCTGTTTCATTTCCAAGCTGTGTTGTTCTATGCAGACTGTCCTGGCTTGGGGGCAGGCAGTGAGACACAGGCAGGAAAACTCTGGATGTGGAATAGAGCAGAATATAGTCCTGAATCCCTCCCCCACAAATTCCAGTTTGTGCCCTCTGAACCTGGAGTCCTTTATCTCCAGAGTGGGTATAGCAGTGCCCATCTCCTGGGTGGATTGAGAATAGCCTGAGATGGTGGAAGGGGCAGGACAGAACTGGCCCAGTCTGCCTGCAGCCTGCTGTGGGGACAGCAATGGTAAGCAAGGGAGCAAAGTCTCTGTGTCCAGTTCCTCCTACCTTGGCTCTAGTCAGAGGGGAGCCCTAGGGCAGCCAGTTAAAGATTGGCCAGATGTGCGTGAGAAGCCCAGGCCAACCCAGTTCACCAGGAGCCAGATGAGGTAGTGATCATTGAATGACCACTGGACCATCTCAGGCCTGTCCTGAAACTCCCCAGGGACCTGGGTCTTGGATTGATAAAGTATGGTAATGTTGTTGCTTGTTGAGGGGTCCTTATATGTGCCACCAGGATGCACCAGGGACCCTTCCACCAGTCTAGGGGCTCTGAAGGAGAGAGCCATGTCTGCATAGACTGGAGCTCCCAGGGCCAGGCCTTGTCTCCTCCCTCAGACAAGCAGTCCATTTCTCCTGGGACTCCCAGGGCTGGGTTGCATCTCCCTACTCAGACGGCAGTCTCTGAGCAGAAAAATTTCCTCCTGGTACTGTAGCCCCCAGGCAGGGGTGTGATGATGTCAACAGGGCAATCTGCATAGGTATCAGCAGGGTCAAAGCCCTGTAAACCCACTCCTAGGACAACAGCACCTAAGACCTGCACTGTTTGAGCTGCCTTCTGACTAAATTTTCAATCTGAACTATTAATGGCTCCTTTTTTTCTACAGAATGCATCTCTAATACAGTAAGAAAGTAGGCTTCACTTGTTAGAGATCCTCTCTGCTGCCCAAGGGGCAGAAAGCTGGGGGTCATGATGGATGGGTGGGCTCAGCTATTCTTTCAGTATCCTTTCTACTTATTTCTTGGACTCTTCCAGAAGATTCCACCATCATTTTCCTTCCTCTATTTCCCACACTTGAATCCTAGGGTACCCTGGAATCCCTCTGTAGTCATTTGATTCCTTCAAACTCAAAGCTGTGTCCTTAGAAAGTAAGGGGCATTAAGGGGACTGAGGGTCAGTTCAAGTGTATGTGGTGGGAAGGGGTTCAACTTGCTCCATTTGCAAGCTCCGCCTTCCTGTCTCTGTTTTTCAGAGGGAAAGACCTTGATCACATAGAAGATCACTACAGCCTTTGCATCTTGAAAAGAAAAAAGCAAACTCATTATGTGCTTCAATTCTTGGGCTCTTAGGAGAGCAACTATCCAACTCTGCTTTTACTTTGCAGGTGAAATTAGGGAGCTAGAGGGGAGGCAGGGGCTCTGGCACTGTGGACATGAGCATGGGACACCATCAGGGACAGTGAGGAGAAGAGGGGAGGTCTGAGCCTTTTAAAATATGTTTTGGCAACATTTTGTTGTATTACTTGCTTTTAAAAATATTTTTAGGAGTTTTAGATTATAGAAAAGTGAGTAGAAAGTACAGAGACTTTTCAGATACTTGCTCCTCTGCTCCCTGTTTCCCTGATATTTTATGATTATTTGCAATGTTGTGGATACATTGTTATTAACTAAAGTCCATAGTCACTCTTAGTGTTGAATGTTCTATGGGTTCTGACACATGTGATAATCTGTGTCTCAGGTTAAACAGCCTCTGCTCTAAACATCCTCTGTGCTCCTCCTAGTCATTCATCTCTTATCCCAAACTCCTGGAAACCACTGGTATTTTTACTGCTTCCATAGTTTTGCCTTTTCTAGAGTGTCATAGAGTTGGAATCAGACAGCATGGAACCTCTTCAGTTTGGGTTTTTTGACTTAGCAATATACATAAAAAGTTCATCTCTTTTTATCAAACATACTATTTTACTGTGTTACTTGCCTTTTTGAGGAGAGTGTACTGGAGATTGAACTCAGGGGCACTTGACACTGAGCCACATCCCCAGCCCTATTTTGCATATTATTTAGAGACAGGGTCTCACTGAATTGCTTAGTGCCTTGCTTAGCTGAGGCTGGCTTTGAACTTGTGATCCTCCTGTCTCTATCTCCCAAGCCCTGGGATTACAAGTGCCACCATGCCTAGCACTGATACTTGCCTTTTTAAAACAGACTGTGGTAAAATATATGTGCAATTTACCATTTTAGCCATTTTAGGCTTACAATTAGGTGGTGTAAATTAAGTACATACACGAAGTTGTGCGACCATCACCACCATCTACTTCCAGAACTTTTCGTTATCCCAAACAGAAATCTTGCACTCCTTAAACAATATCCCCATTCTTTCCTCCTCTTATCTCCAGTTAACCTCTCCTGTCCTCTCTCTAGAAGTTTAACTATTCCATTTCCTTCATATAAGTGAAATCAGGCAATATTTTCCCTTTTGCGTCTGGCTTTCTCCCCATGTGGCTGAGATTTATCCATGTTGTGCCTGTACTAGAACTTCATTCCTTCCCTGTGGGAGGCCAACCTTACAAGTGACTGAGTTATACTCCCCAGCTGGGTGCTGAGGTGCTCAGTCACAGAAATGGGTATGTCTTGCTACAGCCCCATGGGTGAAGCTATGCTCACCTGTTCCTTTGTAATATAACCCCTTGCCCTGTTTAGGATAGAATCTTCCATGGAAGTGCCTTGTGTGTGTCCCCTTCTCTTACTGTGCCCTTAGGTGTGGCATACCCAGGTGTCAGTCAACCTGCTGACAGTGGACATCATGAAGATAGACTCAGCCCCCTGAAACCTGACCCCTTACCTCATTTGAATAGCTTCTCCTCAATAAAAGGGGTCAGTGCATGCTCTCGCTCTCTCTCTTTCTGCAGACCCTTAAGGTCAGAGGAGCCGTCACAGCAACCCCAAAGAAAAAAGTATTTGTGTCTCTTGTGTGGTTATTTCGTGCAGCCCAGTTAGCCCAGTTTAACTAGAGTGACCCCTGAGCCTTTTAGTCGAGAGAACAAAAACCCGGCAAAAATCCCTGCAAGTGTTCAAAGACTTGTGTCACACAAGAATGGAAGGAAGAATGTCCATCGATGACTATGAGGAAATAGACCTAGGCCTGGTTTCAGGACTCAGAAAACAGGACTTGTTGATATATGCTTGACATGGGTAGCACTTGTATGAATTATGTTAAGTCTAAGAAACCAGTCACAGGGGCTGGGGATGTGGCTCAAGCGGTAGCGCGCTCGCCTGGCATGCGTGCGGCCCGGGTTCGATCCTCAGCACCACATACAAACGAAGATGTTGTGTCCGCTGAGAACTAAAAAATAAATATTAAAAATTCTCTCTCTCTCTCCTCTCTCACTCTCTCTTTAAAAAAAAAGAAACCAGTCACAGACCACATATTGTATCATTCCATTTATCTGAAATGTCCAGAGTAGACAAATCTACAGAGACAGAAAGTAGACTAGTGATTTCCCGTGGCTAGTGGGGCAGGAGAGGCATGATGGAGAAGCAGTCACTAAATGCTAAGGAGTATGAGGATTTTTGTGGGTAATACAATGTTCTAAAATCAGTGGTGATGATGATTGTGCAATTGTATGAAGACATGGAAGGAGGTGAATTATATAGTATAAGAATTGTATCTTAGTAAAGCTGTTTTTCTTTTTTTCCTAAAAAAAAAAAAAAAAGAAACAAGGGCTGAGGACCCATGAGCACCCCCTCCCCCACCTTGGTATGGTGGTGCTTTCTTCACTTGGAGAAGCGTAACCGTGCCTGGATTTGATCACAGCGGGCATGCTTCATGGTTAGCCCATAGATGGGGGTCAGGTCCACCTTCACGCCTGGTGGCACACTGAACTCCAGCTGCTGCAGTAGGAAGGCCAGGAAGAGGAAGATCTCCCACTTGGCTGGAATCTCCCCAATGCATCTGCGCTTGCCCAGGCCAAAGAGCATCATCTTCTCACTCACGGTCTTGTTGATGGCCCTGTTGTTGGCAGTGAGGAATCGCTCAGGCTGGAACTCAAAGGGATCCTCCCACAGCTTCCTGCAAGAGTGACAGAGGAGATGGGATTTCTGGGCTAGAGAGGCCCTGGGAGAAAAGTCTTAGGGGAGACTTTTTTTGTTTTGGTTCTGAGGATTGAATGCAGGGGTGCTCAAACACTGAGCTGCATCCCCAACCCTTTTTCATATTTTATTTAGAGACAAGGTCTCACTAAATTTCTTAGGGCCTCACTAAGTTGCTGAGGCTGGCTTTGAACTTGTGATCATCCTGCCTCAGCCTCCTGAATTTCTGGGATTACAGGTGTATGCCACTGCACCTGGCTTGGGAGAGACTTTTGAATAGACTTCTGTTGAGAACACAAATGTTAGAATAGGTTGAAAGCAATGAAAACTTAGTGAGAAAGTGATCAAACTGAACTTTGATGTTTATTTCTTTTTACAAAATTCTCTCTGAAATGAGCAGCCTTAAATATAGTGCTTTTTAACAATAATCTGTTGTTTTTAAAAAAGATGCTTTATCTAAAAGAAGAAAAATGGGTCCATCTCCATCATACTATAGATATACCATTAGCAAGAAGAATCAACAGTATGTCCTGTTTTATGCTTATTATTTTGGAGTAATTATTGATAGCACAAATATCAATAGCACCTTTGTATTCAAGAGCATATCACCAGATGTTAAATTCTTTGGTCCCCTTTCCAGTAGACTAAAGTGATGTCTGGGGCATTCCCATTAGAATATCCTGAGGCACCTTCTCCTATCTACCAAAGTAGGTCCTGGAGGATAGGGCATAATCTTCAACAAGCTTCTGGGTCCATTTGTATGTGCACTGAAGTTTGGAAAACAGGGATCTATGTTTTGTCACATAAAATAGGCTATAAAGCAACTGAGTGCCCTGGTGCATGCCTATAATCCCAGGGACTGGGAAGGCTGAGGCAGGAGGGTTGTAAGTTCCAGACCAGACTCAGCAACTTAGTGAGACTGTCTCAAAAAGGAGGGGTGGGGGTGGCAGGGCTACAGATGTAGCTCAATGGTAGCATGACCCTTTGTTTAATCCCCAGTACTACAACACTAAAGAAAGAAATAATAATTATATATAGCTATATAGCAATTGAGGCTCCTTATTTAACCAGGAAAAACAGCCTTCCTGATTGCTGAACTTGTACACGTTTTTCCATAAGGAATGTGTACTTACGGGTCGTGGTTGACCTGCCACTGGTTTATAAAGACACAGCGCTCCTTGGGAATGTGGAAGCCATTTAGTGCTGTGTCCCTCGTTGTGCTTAGGAGGGAAGAAGAATCTGTTAAGCTCAGGGTTTGTAAAGCTGTCTTGCTCTTTCATCCACCCTACCCCAATCTGCTCACTGCAGTCTTCATACTCCATTCTGGGAGGGAGTGTGAGAGTCAGGGACAAGGGGAAATATCCTTCCATTTCCTTGGCTTCTGTTCTCCAACTTCAACACATGTTCACTGAACTACGGAGCCAAGAAGCAAGTGGTCTGGGCCAGCTCTGGGGTATTTCAAGCCTCTTACTCCATGAATAACTAGATAAACATATGGACAGAAGTAAATGTTTACTAACTCTTAGGATCAAGGATTGTAAGTCCTAGAAGATATCAGAGGATACAGCTGTGCCAGGATGTGTTAAAACAGGTTCTGAGAAAGGGAAAGCCCAGGTCAGGATTGACCTTGGGCAAAGATAGGATTCTGGGAGTCTGAGAAATGTGTAGAAATCCTTCCAGGCAGAAGCATAAGAAAAAGCCCAGCATAAGCAAAATTGGAAGCTGGCTGGATCGTGTTTGTAAGGGTCCGTGAAGATGACCAGGCTGGAGGACTGGGCACTTGCAGGAAGGATATATGAGTGGAGGTGAGTGACAGCTGAGGTCAAAAAAGGTGATTTTCTTCTGCGAGCTGCATGGTTGGATCAAGACTGGACTGGGTGAGGACATACTGGAGGCTGGGGTCCTGGCCAGGAAGAAGAGCCAGGTCACAGCCAAGCCAGGGAATGAGAAGCTGGGAGGAGGGAACATGGCAGCGACTTGGGGAGGACAGAGTAGGCAGCTTTACCTGTGAGGGATGGTGAAGGGTAAAAAGGAAGTGTGTCGGAAGACCTCCAGGATGAAGGCCTCCATGTAAGGCAATTGGGGTCTGTCAGAGAGCCGGGGCTGCCGCTCTCTGCCAATCACGGTATCTGCAGAACATACAGGATGAACAGAGCTTAGGAACTGCTCTGACTGCTCCTTGCATCGGTGTCCTCCATTATACTACATGTCCCTCCATGTGGGGGCTATGTCTATTCAAATATCTGAGATCTCACAAATTCCCTTCCCCCAATGTCTTCCAGGCACTAGTGGGCATCACTATATGCCCAGGATTGCATATAGTAGGCACAAAACAGTTATTTGTAAATTGAACAAATGACATGGGATCCCAAGGTTTCTCCCAGTTAGAGGATTGGGGGACACAATGTACCTAACTCCTTCTGGATCTTCTTCTGTATCTCAGGCTTTGTCACAAGGTACATAAGGCTCCAGGAGATAGCTGTTGTCACAGTGTCAAATCCTGGGAAGCACAGAGTGAGGTGAGAAGGAGGAAGGAAGACAAGAACAAGGAGACTACCGTGGACCAAGCATCCACCATGAAGGCAGCAAGCTTTGTTTCTCTAGCCACAGCTCATGAGTTTCCTGAGGGCAGGGGCTGAGTCTCTTCAAATAAATTTGAGACACAGACTTCATAATTAGCTGCTAGAATTACAGGGGCTTATATTTACAGGTCAGAGAACTTTTTATTGTTCAGATGCAGAAGCAGAGGCCCAGAAGAGGAGAGGGACCTGACTGAGTTTCCACTGGGAGTTGGCATCACAGATTAAGCTCAAACCCTGATCTTAGCCAGGTCTCTGTATCCTGTAGCAGTGGACATGTGTTTGGCAGGTTAGTGGCTGGGCAAGAGTAGGGGTGGACAGAGGGCTCTGATGGATGGAGGGGCAGGGGTCTTACCGGCTCCAAAGATGTCGTTGACAAGGTTGACAATGTTCTCCTGGGGGATGAGACCACCATTGGCTCTAGAGGCCTTCTCGCTGTGCTTGAACAGGGCACCTACAATGTCCTGGACACTGTTCTGAGGGGGCACAAGATTAAAGGCACCCTTGACATTTCCAGGGCCAAACGCTGGGCCTTCCCTGCCACACACACCAAGAGGTGTCCTAGGGGCTTGGCAGTCCCCCTGGCCTCCAAGCAGTGGGCTGGGGCTCAGGGCAGGAGCTGGTAGCAGCCCTGATTTGGCTTAAAATGTCATTTCATGCCACTTTGAACCTTTATTCCAATCACCCCATCTGGTTACTAGATCCCAGGGATCCAGTTTCAAAGGAGGAAGAGGTTGGTGTGAACACAAGGAAGAAAAAATGACATGAAACTGAGGATTAGCCTCTGTTGGTTTCAGATTCCTACAGACCAAAAGCCTTCTCATGCACAATAATGGCCCCCCACATTACACAGTTCTGCCAGGACCCATTCAAAGGCCTTTTCTGTCTGGGGCTTTGAGCAGCTGAAGGGAAGCTTTAAAAGATGAGGAAAGTGAGGCCCAGAAAGGAGGAGGAGATGGCTTTATATCACTCAGCTTCTCCAGGGAGTCCCAGAACCTTCCTTGTCCTTAGCGGCCCATTAGCTGAACAGACATCTTGGAGCAGGGTAGGAGGGGCCACACCCTGGTCCTGCAGGTGCCTCGTCCCCACCTGCATCCCATACTCACCTTGTCAAAGTCCTGATAGTGCTCCTGGACTGTTTTCTGCAGGAACTGCAGGAACCTCTTGTTGAAGTTCTTGAACCTTTCCAGGGCAGGGTTGGGCAGGTAGCGAAGAATGGGTAAAAAGTCCACAGGATTCCCAGAGGAGGCAGTCTCCACAAATTCATGGGTGTTCTTCACAATATTGAGCATCTCCTCACTGCTCTGAGGGAAGTGCTTCCCAAAGCACATGGCACCAATGACTTTGGCCACTGACAAAACCACCTCGTTGTAGGGGTCAAAGTGCCCAGAGTCTGCCATCAGCTTCTGGAACCTGCCAATTAGGCACTCAGCCTCCTTGCTCACGTGCTCCTCCAAGTAGCAGGAAGACACAGAAGTGGGGTCTGAGGCTATGGAGAAACTCTTCAGGGCATCCTGGGCCAGGCGTTTGCGGGCAGCCCACACTGGTCCAGAGTCTGTATTGAAGGTCATGCTCTGGCCATCAGTAACAAGGGTGAAGGTGTAGAGGTCTGGCCGGCCCTTGAAGTCATCACCCTGCTTCACTAGGGCCTGCCGGATGGTGTCCAGGCCACTCAGCACCACCACAGGTGTGGTCCCAATGCGGATCTGCATCACGTCCCCATACTTCTGGCTGAGCTTTGTCAGTGCCAGGTGAGGGTTCTTCCCCAGGGTCAGCATGTGCCCTATCAGGGGCCAGCCCCAGGGCCCTGGTGGACTCTTTAGGCCTTTGGGGACCCAAGGCCTTGAGGCTCTTACCACCCAGAATACCAAACAGAAGATGGCAGCAGCCAGGAGCAGCTCTGTGGCTGAGACGGGAAGAGATTGTAATAACATCATCTCTACCATCTGCTGGGAAAAAGGAAGGAGGGCTAGGCTGAGGAGGGAGGTGAAGTCATTCATTCAGTCATTCATCCTTCAATAAGCACTAATACATGTTTTATGCTTGGGTCTCAGCTGGACACCAGAAAGACTAAGATACATCTATCATAGGTCCTATTCCCCGGGGCTCACTCTTAGCACATCGCCGAATCTGAGGGCTGCAAAGGCAGGGCAGGATTTCCAACTGAGCATCTGAATTCCCAGGCTTGGCTCTCTCTACCCATTCCCCTAGTTTCCAATTCTGAGGCTAAGAATTGTGGAGGAAAGTGACCACTCTAAAACACGAAAGCCAAGGACAGCCCCCTGGCAGGCCCTGGCACAGGGTGTATGTTGGACATTGTGCCAAAGGGTTCCAGCCAGTGCAGGCTTCCTGCTGATACCTTCTGCATGCCAGGGAACATGGAGCCCCCAGCAACTCTGAGGATGCCAAGGCCCCAGGATTGATGGCCCTACCCTGATGGCATTCTTTGTACCAAGAAGGATGCCTCCTTCAAGGCTGAGTACCTATTCCCTCATGGTCTTGGGGGCTGAGGTGGGCTACAGCTAGGGCCAGGACTACCCTTTTGCCAGGAGTAGACTTCTTCCCCTTCTCTCTACGCCAAGTGAGGGCCCTTGGAGATGGCCTAGTTGAAAGTGCTCATTTAAAAACAGAGAAGCAGAGGTCCAGAACTGAGCAGAAAGGGCTAGAGTTCAGGCTCCTATACCTATCCAGGGTACCCCATCTCTCCATTTCTACTAGTTCCCAGGATAGATAGTATGGGTCCAGAAAGGTACCTGTAAAGGCAGGTGCTTGCGATCAGCAGAGTTGTGTTTCTAGCACCAGATGAGGGGGCCTTTTATAAATATCACCTTCTATCAGATTGGCCCGGCTGCTGTCCTGGTCATCTGATATCCAAGTTGGATCACTAAACAAAGTTGAAAGGATCAACCCTTGGCTTTGGGCCATGATCCCTCAGCTCCACCTACTACTCAGGGCTCAGGGATAGTGTTTTTGCAATAGGCCTGAAGGGGTTCTGGGTCCCTGAGGATAAATGTCTAGCTCTTCTCCAGGTCCAGGCCAGGGGGCTCATTTATTTCATGCACAAGTAGGGTGGTGGAGAAAATTAGGTCTGTGGGTGGTCAAGACTTCTTTCCCATGGTGCCCATGAGGTAGAGTCCTGTTGGACACGCAGTTCAGCCAAGCAGGGGCCCATTAAGTTCACTGTTTCTCTCCAGAAGAATGCTCCATAGTCCCTTCTAACAACTGTGAAATCAGACAAGGGATGAATATGTTCCAGTTGTTCCCAAATCTCAGTTCATGTCTCTAATCCAAAAATAAGAAAGGATAAAAATTCTGCATTCTAAAGAAAGCCTCCCTCACCCTCCTCCCTTCTGTGTAAGAATTGGGAAGAGATTAAAGAACTAATGAAAAAAAAATTTATGCTTTGGGCTATTCCTTATGACAACTGGCTTGGACTCTTCAAAATTATTAACATCAGCAGGGCATGGTGGAGCATGCCTGTAATCCCAGTGACTTGGTAGGCTGACGCAGGAGGATCTCAAGTTTTAGGCCAGTGTGGGAAACTTAGCAAGACTCTGCCTCACAATAAACAAACAAACAAAAAAAAAAAAATAAAGGGCTTAGGAAGTGTAGTTAAGTAGTGGATTACCACTGGGTTCAGTCCACAAAATGATCAACATCGTTATGGGAGAAAACAATAAAAAGGACTAGGGCCTTGTTATAGTTTGAATATGAAGTATCCCCCAAAAGCTCCTGTTAATGCAGGAATATTCAGAGGTAAAATGGTTAGATTGTGAGAGCTGTGACCTAATCAGTCCCTCTACTTTGAATGAACTGGATGGTACAGTAGGCAGTGGGGCATGGCTAGAGGAGATGGATCACTGGGGGCATGCCCTGGAAGGGTTCATCTGCCCCCTGACCCTTGCCCCTGCTTCCTGACTCTGGTATGAGCTAAGCAGTTCTCCTCCGCTGGGCCCTTCCCCCATGGTGTCTTGCCTCATCCTGGGCCCAGAGCAATGGAGTTAGCCATCTATGGACTGAGACCTGTAAAACTGTGAGCTCCAAATAAACTTTTCCTCCTCCAGGTTGTTCTTGTCAGGTATTTTCATCATAGCAACACAAAAACTGACTAAAACAGGCCTGTTCTAGAACCAAGAGACTTAAGAGACATAAGAGCCAAATGCAATACGTGGACTTGATTAGATCCTGGATCTAACAACAATAAAGTATTTAAAGGCATGAAAGACATTTTTGAGAAAACCGAGGGCATGTGAATATAAACTGCAGATTAAATGATATTCTGGAGTGAATATTAATTTTCTTAGATATAAACACAGTATCATGATTATATGGGATTTTATCCTTATTCTTTTTTAAAAACATTTTTAGTTGTAGATGAACACAGTAACTTTATTTTGTTTCTTTATTTGTTTTTATGTGGTGCTGAGGATTGGACCCAGTGCCTCATACATGTGAGGTAAGCACTCCACCACTGAGCTATAGCCCCAGCACTGATCCTTGTTCTCAGGAGACTAATGCATTGTTATTTAAAGGAGAAGTTTTATGGGATGCCTGTGACCTCCTTTTAGATGGTTCTGTTAAAAATGTAGATTTTAGCCAGGCGCGGTAGTGCCTCCTACCTGTAATCCTAGTGGCTCAAGAGGCGGAGGCAGGAGGATCACAAGTTCAAAGCCAGCCTCAGCAAAAGCAAGGTGCTAAGCAACTCATTGAGATACTGTCTCTAAATAAAATACCAAATAGGGCTGGAGATATGGCTCAGTGGTTGAGTGCCCCTGAGTTCAATCCCTGGGACCCTGTCCCCCAAATGTAGATTTCAGCTGGCTAGGTTGGCATATGTCTATAATCACAGCTATTCAGGAGACTGAGGCACAGGGATCACTTGAGCCTAAGAGTTCAGGAATAGCCTGGGCCACATAGTGAGACCCTGTCTCAAAAAAAAAAAAAATCTATCTATCTATCTGTTGATCAGAAGTACAAATGAGAAATGTCAGCTCTCAGTGAACCAAGGTGTCGATAACAGAAGTGTTCATTGTATAAAAGGAGACTTTGATAGACTCAGGTTTCAGTCATGTCTAAGAGGAGGATTGGGACAAAGTCTTATATTGAATATGAGAAGTAAATTGTGATTTAGATTAATTTGGGCTCTGTACTCCTGAAAATGAGAAAGTCATGAAATCACAGTGAAGATGTCAAGGGGCAAGGATGGCGACTCTGAGAAACAATAGAGCAGGTTTGAAAAGCATGGGTGAGAGGAAAGGAGAGCTGTTTTTTGTCGGTGTCTCCCCCAGGTTTGGCTCACTCAGTAAAGTTAGGTAAAGTTTTATAAAAAATTGACTCTTTCTCTCATTAATTAACTAAAGTCCACAGTTTATTTAGATAGCCTTAGTTCATTTAATGTCCCATTTCTTTTTTTTTAATATTTGTTTTTTAGTTGTAGTTGGACACAATACCTTTATTTTATTTATTTATGTGGTGCTGAGGATCGAACCCATTGCCCCATGTACAGAAGGCAAGTGCTCTACCACTGAGCCACAACCCCAGCCCTTATTTATTTATTTTTATGTGGTGCTGAGGATTGAACCCAGGGCCTCACACGTGCTAAGGGAACACTCTACCGCTGAGCCACAACCCCAGCCCCTTATGTCCCTTTTCTGTTCCAGGATCTGTCTAGGATGCCACATGAAAGTTACCCATTAGGTAGGTCTCTTTGGACAATTCTTGGTGGTGACAATTTCTTATTCTGTCATCATTCTTGATGACTGATGTTTTCAGGAGTCCTGGTCAGGTAATGTGTAGAATGTTCCACTGTTAGAGTGTTTCTCTCCTGGTAAGCCTGAGGTTATGGGTGAGTAGCAGGTAGACCTCAGGGTTAATGTGCCATTTTCTTCATACCATCTCAATGCCACACCATCAACTGATAGACATGGTAGCACACGCCTGTAATTCTAGCAACGGATGCAGGAGGATTGCAGGTTTGAGGCCAGTGTAGGCAACTTGGCAAGATTCTATCTCAAAATAAAAAATAAAAATGGTCAGGAATGTAGCTGTCAGTTCAATCCCCAGTACTGCAAAAAACAAAAATAAAGTAAAACAAAGCCAGCCTTAGCAACTTAGCAAGGTGCTAAGCAACTCAGTGAGGTCCTGTCTCTAAATAAAATATTAAAAAGGGCTAGAGATGGTGGTTAAAATTCCCTGGGTTCAATCCCTGGTACCAAAAAAAAAAAAAAAAAAAAAGGAAGAAGAAGCTTAAAATGGGCTGGCTGTGATGGCACAGCATGTAATCATAGCCATTCCAGGAGGCTGAGGCAGGAGGATCCCAAGTTTGAGGCCAGCCTGGGCAACTTAGCAAGGCTCTGTCTCAAAAATAAAAAAAAATAAAAAGAAATGGGAATATAAAGAAGTGCCCTAGGGTTCAATCACCAGTACCATAAAAAAAAAGGAGGTGGGGAAGAGGAGGAGAAAGAGGAGGAGGAGGAGAAGTTGGTGCCATGATTATTCAGAGAGGGAACACAGGGGGCTTCCAGGGCACTGTTTTTTTTGTTTTTGTTGTTGTTGTTTTTTGTTTGTTTGTTTGTTTGTTTGTTTTTTAAAGAGAGAGAGAGGAACAGAGAATTTTTTAATATTTATTTTTTAGTTTTCAGTGGACACAACATTTTTGTTTTATTTTTATGTGGTGCTGAGGATCGAACCCAGTGCCCCGCTCATACCAGGCAAGCGCGCTACCCACTTGAGCCACATCCCCAGCCCAGGGCACTGTTGATACACAGTTTTGTCAAGTTGTAAAAATTCATTGAGCTATACATGATAAATTCCCTTTTCTATATTGTTTTTTTTTATGTTATTAACAATGTTTTTAATGTTGAAGAAAACATTACAAAGAAAAAGGAAAAAAGTCCCTCATAGACAAATGTCCTAGTATTTATAGAGATAATTGCCCATTTCTTTA